TAAATGAGCCTTTTTAATTATTTGTATTATCGTAATATTCTATATTTTGATTTTTTTTCATAGTTAACTTAGGTTTCCACAGGATTCGAGTCTTGGTTCCGTCCCTGACTATAGCAGTGTGTCACATTTCATTTTCACAATGCTGGAACAATTCTGCACAGCAAAAGGAAGTCCATAGCGCAAGGCTAAAGCCTCGGAAACTTTCGATAAAAGGAAGTCGTACGATTATTTCTAGTATGAAACGAGTCAACCAAGTAGCCCATCCTGCCACACTTCACCTATAGGTCTAGAGGCGGATAGGAATTGAGATCCATTTTTTAACTAACTATTATTTATTTATTTTACATGTAGCTTGTGTCCAAACCAAAAACAGCCTGGTTTAAACTAATTTGCCAAAGTCCTTAGTCCTAAACCCAAACCTAATTATTCTATCACTATATCATCCAAATCCATTATCCTATTGAAATTTTTAAAAATCCACTTCCTGATTCCCCCATCGGGTTCTTGTCTCTGAAAATTTACCAACAAACCAAAACTCGATTCTTGAACTTTCAACAATGGTTTCAAGATTTTTCATTGGTTCATTAAATTAGATAATAAAAATTTAAGCTTTGATAAGTAAGTTCTTTCTCTAACATTTAAAAAAAATTTCCATTTCGATTCCAACATAACGGTGTAGAAAATGAAAGGAAATACACCTAATTTCATGTTATGAAGCTTATTAGTGTTAATGTTACGCCTCCGCTAGCAAGAATCAAGCATGGCCACGCAACAACTAAATCTAAGCCCACACTCCACGTCAATCTACCCATAAGGCAACTTCGATCGAACCCATTTGTTGGAACCGACCCCATATGGGAAACCAAACCCCTATTGGAGGAGCGAAGTTGTTATGGGCTTAGTGGAAGATCTTTTATAATCTTTGGTAAATGATTGATATGACAATTCACCTCTAAAACTGTCTCACTTAAGTCTTGTATCAGAATTTGAGAAACAAAATGATATTAACATTAAATGTTTATAATTGATGGATAAATAATACTATTTAACTTCACTGGAGTTATAATCACAATTTATAGAGGGCTAATGTGACATTAAATGTTAGGTCATGAAAGATTTCTTATAACCTATCATTTAATATCATATTAATGCTAAATAGATTGGGGTTATAACTTCACATTAATGCCACATAGACTGAAGTTATAACTTTAGTGGGTTAAATAGCATCACTCTTGATTGATACCTATGACAAGAGGTCACGTAAATTTTCGTCCAACGATTATTATTCTTTATTTTTTATTATAAAAGCTCACAAGATGTGCCATTTCAATGATAATACAAGTTTAGACTTTCAAACTGCAACTTTGTTAGCTCTTACCTACTCACTGGAGTTATAATCACAATTTATAGAGGGCTAATGTGACATTAAATGTTAGGTCATGAAAGATTTCTTATAACCTATCATTTAATATCATATTAATGCCAAATAGATTGGGGTTATAACTTCACATTAATGCCACATAGACTGAAGTTATAACTTTAGTGGGTTAAATAGCATCACTCTTGATTGATACCTATGACAAGAGGTCACGTAAATTTTCGTCCAACGATTATTATTCTTTATTTTCTATTATAAAAGCTCACAAGATGTGCCATTTCAATGATAATACAAGTTTAGACTTTCAAACTGCAACTTTGTTAGCTCTTACCTAAATCTCCCAAAATCAAACCTTTTTATTTTCATATATTCAAGAGGCTCATGTTCTAGAGCAGCTCCCATATTTAAACACATATCATCAACTTACTTGATCGTTGGAGTGTTTGCGGCCAACTCTACCACCATCGAAAGAGGTAACATGTGGCTAATAGTTTGTCTTAGTGTGTAGGAATTTGTGGATGCGAGAGGCTTTGTGATTCATTGGCCTTGTTGGAGTTACAAAATTTGAGGTCAACATTTAATTTGCTAAATTTTCTTATTCTTTATATTCTCTCTCTAAATGTAATCTGCAATGGCCCCCAATTGAAAAATTGAAAATTAATTTCTTGCTTTACTTCGACTAAGAAGTGTGCTCCCCCCCCCCCCCCC